TCCGTAATTTTCTCTGGCCCCCTGCCTGATCGGACCAGTGACGACATGTTTAGCTGCATGCTGTCCTTCAACCGCTGGCTGTCTAGGTGGTGTCCTGAAAACAACGTGGGCTACATTGATAATTGGAAAACTTTTTGGGGAAAACCTGGTCTGATGCGGAGAGACGGTATCCATCCCTCTTTGGATGGTGCAGCTCTTCTTTCTAGGAACATGGCCAGTTTTATTAGTCCTCCATGACTACCTAGGGTCCAGACTAGGAAGCAGAGTCGAAGTTTAACCCACCCCTCTGCAGCTTCTGTACTGTTACCCACCCACTACCCCATAGAGACAGTGTCTTGCCCACGGCCAAAATCACACAGATTAAATATCAGGCTTAATAAAGCAAATCATGGAAATCTCATAAATATTAGAACAAATTCAACTGAGGAGAAAACTAGAAAAATTAAATGTGGGTTGTTGAACATTAGATCCATTTTTTCTAAGACTTTGTTAGTTAATGACTTGATTTGTGATAATCAGACCTCTTTGCTCTCTCTCACAGAATCCCGGCTGCAGCAAGAGGACTATGTTAGCTTAAATGAGTCGACTCCTTCAAATTATTTAAATCATCATATTGCTCGAAGTACAGGGCGAGGGGGAGGAGTGGCAACCATTTTTCATTCGGACTTATTAATCAGTCCCTTACAGATTAATAGTTACAGTTCGTTTGAACATCTTATTCTTAGTTTTCCTAATCCAGATTGCAATACTGTAAAACCATTCTTGCTTGTAGTTTTATATCGTCCACCAGGCCCTTACTCTGAGTTTTTGGATCAGATCTCTTAGATTTTTTATCTGATTTGGTGCTAAATACTGATAAGGTCATTATAGTGGTTGATTTTAATATTCATGTGGACATTGAAAATGATTGCCTCAATGTAGCCTTTAGTAATATCTTGGACTCAATTGGTTTTACTCAAAGAATACGTAGCTCCACCCACTCCTGCCATCATACATTGGACCTAGTGCTGACTTATGCCATAGAGTGTGAGGAAATAACGATCTTTCCACATAATCCAGTCCTCTCGGACCACTTTCTGATAACCTTTGAGTTTTTTATGAGTTCTCGAGACATGAAAGTAAATTTCACTATAGTCGGTCTCTATCTGACAACGCAGTTGCATCTTTTAAATCAACTGTTCCATCTTTACTGTCCTCAGCATCTCAGAGGCCTGTAGCAGAGGGCAATATTTTCAGTTCTAGCCCCTCACAAATTGATGCCTTAGTTCATCATGTTAATTCCTCTTTACGTGTGGCATTAGATGATGTTGCCCCTTTAAAAAAGAAGGTAATTAGGCACAGGAAGTTGACTCCCTGGTTTAATTCTCATTTACGAGCCTTAAAACAAAACTCTAGGAAATTGGAGAGAACATGGCGCTCTACGTACCATCCTGGAAAAATAGTCTTGTGCTTTATAAAAATAAGCTTTGACAAACTAGAACTGCTTATCTTTCAGCACTAATTGAGGAGAATAAGCATAATCCTAAATTTCTTTTCAGTACAGTTGCTAAACTTACACAGAATCATAGCTCTGAGCCATCTATTCCGTTAGCCCTCAGCAGCAATGACTTCATGGGATTTTTTACAAGTAAAATTAATTCTATTAGAAACAAAATCTTTAGCATCCTCCCTAATGCGATTTCTTCTTCCTCAGTAAGTGAGGCAGCATCAGAGGTGACCGTAGAACCTCATCTGTGCTTGAACTGTTTTGATCCAGTTGAGCTTTCAGAGTAATCAAAAATATTAGCTTCATCTAAACCTTCAACTTGCATTTTGGATCCAATCCCAACCAAATTATTTAAAGATGCATTTCCTTTGGTTACTGCCCCATTCTAAATATAATCAATCTATCCTTAGTAAATGGGTATGTACCACAAGATTTTAAGGTTGCTGTAATCAAGCCTTCTCTGGATCCAGATGACCCAATGAATTACAGACCAATATCTAACCTTCCATTTTTATCCAAAGTCCTGGAGAAAATAGTGGCCATCCAAGTATGTGAGCATTTAAACACTAATGATCCATTTGAGAAATTTCTGTCTGGTTTTAGAGAGTATCACAGCACTGAAACTGCATTAGTGAGAGTTACAAATGATGTTCTCATGGCCTCAGATAAGAATCTTGTGTCTGTTATAGTCTTGTTAGATCTCAGTACTGACTTTGACACAGTTGATCACAATGTTCTTTTAGAAAGACTTGAACATGCTGTAGGGATCAAAGGAACAGCGTTAGGCTGGTTTAAATCCTACCTGTCTGACAGATTTCATTTTGTAAATGTACATGACAAATTGTCTTCATACTCCAGGGTTACTTGCGGAGTACCACAGGGTTCAGTGCTTGGACCAATTCTTTTTACTATATATATGCTCCCAATTGGTAAAATCATTAGACAGCATGGGATAAACTTCCACTGTTATGCTGACGATACTCAGTTATATTTATCCATTAACCCTGATGAACCTAATCGGTTGGGTAGATTACAGGCTTGTCTTGAGGACATAAAAAATTGTATGACTAAACTTTTTGCTTTTAAATCAAGACAAGACGGAAGTTGTCATCTTTGGACCAGAAATCCAGAAAAGGAAATTGCTTAGCCAATCGCCTGACCTGAATGGCATTACATTAATCTCCGAGAACAAAGTAAGGAACCTTGGTGTTATCTTTGACCAGGACATGTCATTCAAATCCCAGGTTTCACAAGTTTGTAGGATTTCCTTTTTCCACCTTTGGAATATTGCTAAGATTAGAAGCATACTTTCCAGGAGTGATGCTGAAAAACTAGTTCATGCATTTATTACATCAAGACTGGATTACTGTAATTCATTACTCTTAGGAAGTCCACAGAATGTAGTTAAAAGACTTCAGCTTGTCCAACATGCTGCAGCTAGAGTTCTGATGAGAATTAAAAAGAGAGATCATATCTCTCCTGTCTTAGCTTCCCTACATTGGCTACCTGTTAAATTCAGAATAGATTTTAAGATCCTTCTTCTCACATATAAAGCTCATAATAATCAAGCTCCATCATACATCAGTGATCTGATTGTTCCATATGTTCCTAACCGAGCACTTCGGTTAGGAACATATGGAACTAGGATGGGAGGCAGATCTTTCAGTTATCAGGCTCCTCTCCTGTGGAACCAGCTCCCAGCTTTAGTCCGTGAGGCAGACACTTTGTCTACTTTTAAGAATAGGCTTAAAACATTTTTATTTGATAGGGCCTATGGTTAAAATCTGATGTTAGCTTAAATCTGGACAAGTGGGGGAGTAGAGGGAGGTAGAGTGTACAGTTGGTAAAGACGGCTCTCCCTTGCCCTGCCTCCAACATACCTACATCTAAATAGGATAGATTATCCAGAGTTATCTCTGTAGTTATGCTGCTATAGGCTTAGACTGCTGGAGGATACACTGACCACTTTTCACAATCTACTGCTTTCTTCTACTATCTGCTCTTTAACAGTTTTATTTTCTGCAATTCCAACTGTTAACTTTATTTTCTCTCTAAGTGTTTTTCTCCCCAGAAGAAGCTACAACGATGTTCTGCTGAGCTGTGGTGGCCTCATGGACGGGGCCATCGTCTAGCACACTGCTGCTAACCACTTCAACATTCTCCCTCTCCTGATAACTTTTTGCTTTCCTTGACGTTGGATGTGCTACTACTAGTTTACCCGTTTAATTATAGATCCATTAGGATAAATACAAAAAAGTTTATCTTTCACCAAATAGAATATTTACTAAGAAATCACAATATAACTATAGACACATTACGTGTGCGTGTGTGTGCGTGTGTGTGTGTGTGTGTGTGTGTGTGTGTGTGTGTGTGTGTGTGTGCGTGCGTGTGTGTGTGTGTGTGTGTGCGTGCTCTGTCTTCTCGATCCCCAGTCAGTCGTGGAGGATGGCTGCTTATACTGAGCCGGGATACTCTGGAGGTTTCTTCCTGTTTAAAGGGAGTTTTCCTCTCCACTGTCGCTTTATGCTTGCTTAGTACGAGGATTGCTGTATAGTCACTGACACTAGTCAGTGACTTGATGCAGTTTGCTGGGTTCCTTATATAGGAAACATTATTTCTGATTGGCTTAATGAACTGACCTGAATTGGAATGTTTATTATGTGAAGTGCCTTGAGACGACTCTTGTTGTGATTTGGCGCTATATAAATAAACTTGAATTGAATTGAATTGAATTAAAGTTTTATGAAAATCCCAGGTCTCCAAAAAAGAAGAGAAACCTAAATCTACACCATAATGGTACTACCCAAAACAGTAGTAATCATCCAGCACTGAAGAGAATGACTGCACCTAAATACACAGGCAGGCTGATGAATAATGGGAAGCAGCTGGTCCACTCTTGACACACCGCCATGGAAGACAACTCTGGCCCTATCTCAATACTCACACTGCGCCCTGCGGTCTTCAGCAAAGTGCACTTGGAGAAGGTGCGCAGTGGGGTTCGAGTGCATAGTACACAAGTGTGCAAATAATTTCAAAATTGAGACGAGGAGCATTGCGTCATTGATCGCAATGCATGCCGGTATTTTGGTTGCTGTGATACTTTTTTCAAAAACCTTTATTAACAACTTTTAAGCAAACCGCCAAACACTTATTTGAAACAAATTTACATTCATTGCTGCTTTGTCTAAAATGTTCAGAGCATCAACTAATCATCCTAAAATTAACCAATTTCATTAGAAAATATATGTTTTCAGAAAAAGAGCTTGAGCCTTCTCTCCCGCAGCAATGATTTGTGGGTAATACACTTGAATGAGGTCCGCATCGCTGCGGAATTGGGTGAAGTGCTGATTAATTGCACAATGGGGATATGGCCAACTTCCGCACTTGAGAATCGGGACACCCTACGCACTCGCCCCCATGGCCGGGAACGCGCAAATAAAGGGTGCAAATGCGAGTATTTAGATTGGGCCTCTGACAGACAAAAACAGGAAGCTCACACTGAACCTGACAGAAATATGAAAGTATTACATTTTATTTCTCAAATCAAACTTTCAGAGGGATGGGGTTTTAAGGGCAGATTAGAGGAGGGACTCATTTTCACTCATCTGTTATAAGTGTCCAACTGTGTCAGTTTCAGCTTTTGCTGATACATCAAAGGTCGTGCAAATAGTGTTCTTTACCTACATTTTAATATGCGAAATGAAAAATACATTGTTCAAAATCAGAATTGGTTAGCTGGGTTTCGTTTTTGTACATATTGTTCATTCAAAGTTCTTACAAAACAGGTTTTTAAGTTTTGATCAAAGTCAAACAATGAAAGTAAAATTAGAATTTCAAGTAGAATTTGTAGGGATGAATAAAACAGGTAGGACAAACCAAAAAGATCAAATGGAACAATTGAGTCCTGTTAGAAAATGTCACTTTTACCAGTTTTTAAAATTTTATTTCAGTTCAACAAAGTTTTTCTTTTTCTTTTTCATTTTAAAAGTATTAGCTAATAGTCAGTAATGACCTTGATTTAGTTAGGATACATGTTATCATCATAGCAACATGATTTTTAGGTCACATTTCAACAGTGATCTAAAGTTTTGCTAATGTCAACCTTTAACATAATTTTGCAGAATCATTCAAAACAATCATTTGTTTCACCGCCCTGATTATTGACTAAAGCTCAAATAAAGAATGCTGATTTCAGGTAAGATTTCAAGCTATCCAAGAAGAATCTGGGTGATTTCATCAGGCCACCACAAAGACAGCAACACGTTATTGCTGGCACTCCAGGATCAAACCAATCTCCATCACAACCCACAGACGTCCCAGGTCATAGCTGACATGTTTGACGGGCAATGAAAATGGGATCTGAACCCAGTCTGTGCCTTGTGGAGCATCATCAGTGATGCCAAGTCTGTAGAGAAGGTGAGACTGGATTTGAGACTTGACAGCAAAAACTAATGCAGTAAAACAATCATGTAAAACATGTTGATGGACAAACGATTAGCAGTTAAAGAATGCTACATTTAATGTTGAAATTATTTAATGTTAGATTCCCAAGCTGAAGACAGTGAGAGCCACAGATATTTCTGATTAGATTTACCGTTGGTAGACACTGCCACCTGCATTAACTACAAAGACGCTCCCATCAGTCCCAACTTCAACCATTTTTGCAGATCCTTGCACCTGTGTCCAACCAGTTTTGTCACAGGAAATCGGAGTAATTTTCTAAAAAACAGAAAAGTTGGTATGAGATCAGAAATCAGTGAAGATGGCAATGCTGCCAGAGGGAAAAAGGGAGGAGCTTACTGTAACATAGATGTTATCAGCTGAGTTTACTCCCCAGCATCCTTTTGGACCACAGCTGAAATACTTCAACTGTCCATCAAAGTATCGCCAGCTCACAAAATCAAGGTGCTGATAGGCTGAAGCAGCGTTACTCTGCAGACAGTGGATAGTGTTTGAGCTGGTCACTCCCACTATCTGACCACTACCTCCAGCATCCACCTGCTGTAAATCCAGACCTTGAGACAAAAAACAAAACAGAAACTCACCAAAACTTATAAGATGTTTACTTTGCACAGCTTAACTTGTATTATCGTTTTGCATATTCACTCACCGCTGATAGGAATGAATTCTCCATCTACAAACTTGTAGATCTTGTTTGAGGAGTCGACTCCCCAGATTCCTGCAGGTCCGACTGAGACGTGTTTGAAAGCAACAGAGCCCAGTTTGGACCAAGCTGATCCAGTCAGGAAGAACACATTTAATGAGCTGTCTGTCATCACCACTTGTCCTTGTCCAGCATCAATCTGTGCAGCAGAAGGCTGCTGTGGGGGGGCTGTGCAGGTCCATCCTGAAGAGGAAAAACGTGTGAATGAATACAGTAAAAAAAAAAAGGGTAAAACATATTGCACTGTTAAAAGCAAAAATATTCAATATGTCATAGTGAAAACCTACCATGACAGTTAGACAAGTAGCTCAGCAGGAGCAGCAATGCTGCAACAGCTTTCATGGTGTCTTCTGGGTGGTGCAGGGTGACTCCTGTAGCCATGGACGTAATTTTCACTTTAGAAGTGGGGGGGACATGGGGGGGGGGGGGGGGGGGATCTTTACAGTATGTTCTAATGGGAAACAGGCTTCAACACAAACGGTTGTTTTCCACTTGGTCCTAGAGCTCAACCAGTGACAATTTAATATAGCGTAATATTGTTTTTAGATGGTAAAAAGTGCAGGGGTCAAAACTTGACTTTGGAAAAAGTGGGGGGGACATGTCCCCCCTGTCCCCCCCCCCCCAAAATTACGTCCATGCCTGTAGTTCTGTATTGTTGTTGGTGGTTTATTATCTGAAAGCACGTATACACAGATCCAGTTTTCCTGTTTAACAGATTCAGTGGTTTATTTTTGCCTTTAGAAACTTTCAATGGTGCATACAATTTCAGGTATTTGTTACAAAATGGTATGAGCATAAAGAACCAGGAAGGAAATTTAATATTCAGCCTCTTTTATTCTCAAAGGCATCTGCTGTGAAGCCTTTTAGGGCAAAACCAGTTTGATAGGTCTGCTGGGTTTCCTGGAATATTTCTTCACATAGCACAAGATCTGTGAATTAGACAAATAATCTACAAATATGGAAATTAATTACTATTAGAGAAATGGATAGTTAGGGAAATCCAAAATCAGAGCTCTTTTAAGAACATAAAAAAAGGCTATTGCATTAAAAGCGTTTTCCGCTATCGTCTATCTAGCAGTTGTGATAGAACGAGAAGAAAGGTATTTTTGGATAGCTCTGCAAGTTCAGGAGGATCTTGTCGATGGTATTGGCTGGCCCCTACAGCTTTTAAAATCCTAATGTAATCATTTATAATGTTTTAATCATTTCTACTGTTAAATGTATTTTGTATTTTGAAAATGGACCCCAGGAAGATTAGCAACCACTTCTGTGAAAGCAAATGGGGATCCAAATAACACACCAACAACAAAGATCTTTTCTTGTTCAAGCTCCATCACTTACACACCCTCGTCTCAGAACTCCACATTGAAGAAAAAGTTTATTCACACTTAAAATAAGTTTTCTTTAAGATTACTTTTGTTGGATTTGCTTTAAACTAAAAGACTGAGACAAATGCAGATCTCATCCTAAACATTTATTAACCTCAAATGACTGTACATTTTGACTTAGATTAATATTCATGCATTACTTAGAAACACAAACATTATCAAAACCTCTCCACTATGTGCAGTCCTGCATGAAAGTTTGCTTTTCCATTACCTGTAGAATTCCAACATAGAGCTAAATCATCTGTCAAAAAAAAAAAAAGACGAACTAAATCTAGAATTATCCCTTTTCTCAGTCATGCTGAAATGATTATTGAATATTGGTTAGCTTTTTCAACATACCTTTTCCTTTTCTTCACTACAACATCTGTAATGGCTTTTGCAGAGGACCCGTGAAAACAGCCGGACACAAAGACGATAAAAGGCTTTATTAAAAGTCTGAACCTAAAATTGTTCGGTCTGAGGGAGGAGATCCAAGTAGAGGAATCCTGGGGCACAAGCAGAAGGTGAGAAGACGTGGGTGGGTCAGTACAATAGAGGAGACAAACAAGGTTTTCTCAAAGGAAACAAACAAGTCCCTAAGGAACAGCCTATATTTTCCTGGCAGAGACTGAGGATTGCTTCTTGGGATCGCAGCCTTCCCAGTCCACCAATTCAATTCAATTCAATTCAATTCAAGTTTATTTATATAGCGCCAAATCACGACAAGAGTCGTCTCAAGGCACTTCACATAATAAACATTCCAATTCAGGTCAGTTCATTAAGCCAATCAGAAATAATGTTTCCTATATAAGGAACCCAGCAAATTGCATGAAATCACTGACTAGTGTCAGTGACTATACAGCAATCCTCATACTAAGCAAGCATGCAGCGACAGTGGAGAGGAAAACTCCCTTTTAACAGGAGGAAACCTCCAGAGAATCCTGGCATAAGCAGCCATCCACCACGACTCACTGGGGATCGAGAAGACAGAGCGCGCGCGCACACACACACACACACACACACACACACACACACACACACACACACACACACACACACACACACACACACACACACACACACACACACACACACACACACACACACAGTTCTCCTTTACCGGAAATTAAACTACAGGCGTGATTTGACTGTACAAACCTGCTCAGGGTTTGACAGCAAAGTTGAACGCTGACTGTAGTTTTATAACAAATCTAAACTTAATCACTTGTCTGACATCTGTAACAGGAAATCTCCTGAGGTATTTATTTTCCAGGGAGTCCTGAATTCTGTTTTTTTTACACGTTCAGTTCAATTTCTTGAGTTTTTATTGAATTATATATTATTGATAGTCATAATCATATTATTGAAAACAAGAAAGTGGCTTTGCTGAAGGGTGGAAGGAAAGTTAATTAAATTCACATTATAACTATAAATATTTCAGCTTTCAGGAAGATTACTCACACACACACACACACACTGCATTTTCACTCAACATGACTCAGTTTGAGGAATTGAAGTCTCGCATGTTTTGGGTTAAACTGAATCCTGGATTTTAAGATCTAAAATTCTGAATGTTATTAAAGTTTTAGGATTTTATTTTTAATTTCCAGGCTTTTGCAGAAGTTGATGATGTGATGAACATGCTTTATCACTTCTTAGCATCACAGGTAGTCCAGTTTTAGCAATTTTGGGATTAATTAGGATGATGCAAAAGGACCAGTGTGTTTTTTTTGTGTACAATAAAATATGCAAGAGACAAAGCAAATTTGAAGGTTGACCAAATCCTTCAGAAGCTATCTGGGTGGTGTGATCACATTTTTTGCCAAGTAAAAAACAAAACAGTGTCAATTATGAGCAAAACATACAAATAGAAACGGTTAAATTGTGGAAAAAGTTATTTATTTTCATGTGCATTAATTTTATGTCACGTTATAAGTGACATAACATCTCAGTAGTTGAAGGTTACAATAACTGCCTATGTGTATATAGGCTACATGTACTTTTGCTATTAGTTTTCTTCAAACTATTCTTAAGTGTTGGTGCTGGTGTAACAAGTGAATTTTCCACAATGTGGGATCAATAAAGTCTATTCGATAACTGTAATTTATCAAGGCTATACCATACAGGCGATCCATGTGTTCTGCAGAATCCTGTTATCACCCACTGATTAAAAACAGGTGTGTCGGAGGAGCAGACAATCCTCTAAAACCTCCTATCGTGTTCCTCTGAGGCCCACATCTCCTCAGTGCCTCACATGCATGTCCACCTGGTTTAAATCGGTGGCTAACTAACTTTCTAAGAGCGCCGTTCCGGTATTTGGTGTACAACATCGCCATCTGGTGTTCACTTTTACGCGCTGCACTGCCCCATAGAGCTCGGCGCTCCGAGCTGTGCAGCATGCTGCCTTTCACCACCTATCTGCTGCACGCACGCGAGCGGAGCGCCTCCTCCTCTCTAGGAATATCTGATAGGAGCAGCTGGACAGTTTTCCTCGACACTGGTGATCCAAACATCTGCATGTGATGAAAGAAACAGAGATGAACCCTCGTTCTTTAGCGGCGCAGGTAAGACTCAGTTCACTGTAAGAAACGTGGCGGTTTTCTGACTTTGTGCGTTTCTGGGCTGTCAGGCGCTCGCAGCAGCTTTCTCTGTGGGGATTGTTCCAGATGGACGGCACCTGCTCTCTGATGAGAGTCTGATGATGTAAAAAAAGCCGAGTCACTTCTAGCACTCTAATCAAGATGACTCCATTGATTCGTGGTCTTTAGTTTATGCATTTGCAACAGTTGTTATATCAGGACTTTTTATGCTTCGCTGCCTTTTTAAAAACTCAAAGAGATGAGGTGAGATGAATGCCACCCTAAAACGCGGAAGGGTGAAGTAGATTTCCAGACACAGCTTCTCCATCCATCACATTGTCCTTTGCTCCTGCAACGTCAGTTTCATCCAAAAACCCACCTCATCATCCAGGTAGGACCTGCTTTTGGGACTCACGAGTAATCTATTTAGCATCACTCACAGCCTGCTCTCATGAATGCCTGGAACATTTTTAATAATGGATGACCAAAGAGATTTGCAGCATTGATTTGTCTGTATGAGGCTGTAAAAGAGTTGTCTGATCAGAAAACATTCGTTTCGCTTTTTACCCGAAACTGCAGAGAAGTTTGAGATGGGCATCACCGTGCTGTTACTTCTGGGCACATCGATTTAAACCCAATAAATGGTTCAGTGTAATGACTGATTTCTTATGGAATCCTTTACTAAAGTGCGTTACCAGCTCAGATGCACTGATGCATTTCTTTGCAGTGCAACAAGTGTGATGCTGTGGCATCTGGTGTCCCCGTCCCTCAGGACAAGGCCATTGCTGTCTGCGATCTTCTGATGTGTCCTCTCAGACCCTCATCCAGGAAAGGTTTGAGTTTCATCCCTGTGGTAAATTACCAGTGAGTTTATTGGTATAGATACGATCTGACACCGAGAATGGAGCTTCATCCATAGGGATTACTGACTCTTGTGGATGATAATTGGCAGTAAGCTTGGCTGTTTTTCAGTGATGCTTCAAGTCTGGCCAGTTTGGCCAATCTACAGGCTGGTTAGAGGTGCCACAGACCCAAAACAACAATAATACATTTTATTTGTAATGTACTTTATATTTCGCTGAAATCTCAAAGTGCTACTGCAGACTTCAAGTCATCTAAAAACCAAAGCAAACATTAATACATACAAAACTAAACAAGTTAAACAGTAGGAAATAATTAAAAATGCCCGCTTGACTAATAGTGTTTTCAGCTGTTTTTTTTTTTAAACACTCCACACTGTGATGCTCTCAGTAATTCTGGGAGAGCGTTCCACAAACGTGGAGCAGCAGCTTGACAGGCCCGGTGTCCCATGGTGTGAAGTTGGGTCCAGGGCTGTTGAAGGGATTGGGAGTCGCTGGAGCGGAGATTTCTTGAGGTGATGCGTGGAGTAAGGAGCTCTTTAAGATAGGCAGGATCATTTCCAGGGATGCACTGATGAGAAAAGAGGCAGAGTTTATACTGAATTAGCAGATTAGTAAACAAACTGGTGTGTGATCATACTTGAGACCCCTTGTCAGGATCCTGGCAGCACAATTCTGGATGTGCAGGCATCCACCAGAGATCAAGGAGGGCATTACAGCATAGTCCAGCCTGCATGAAACAAAGGCATGGATCCGCCTCTCAGCATCAGGTTGGGAGAGAAAAGGTTGAGTTTGGCTGTTTTTGAGGTGATGGATGCATAGTGATGGACCCTGACAACCAATAGTAACTTGTTGGGACCCTTGTCTTTTGCAGTCAGACTTCAACAATCTCTCTACGTTACTATTATTATTATTATTGTTATTATTATTATAAAAGTCTGGTGAGGAAGCAAAAGCAGACTTTTACAGAATCTTGCCGTAGCCACTAAAGCTGCCTTCGATCATCCCTTTTGTTTTTTGCTGTCTAAACTTTTTTTTAATTTTATTTTACGCTTCTGCCACATCTAACAAATGGCTAGTGTTATACACATGGAGGGTTATGTTTATGCTGTTATTAGAGAGAAATGGTGTGATGTTTCAAATTTTCTGCTACCTCTGTTTAAATTTAATCTTAAGTTTCTGTCCAGAAGTCAGGATTAGCTGCTAAGAATGTCTCATTTTTACCCTGCTGTCCTCTTGTACAATGTACAACGTGTCCAAGAACATACCAATATTAGAATATTTTTTGTGTAATTTAAAAACTTTATAAAATCTGGAATTGGCTCAGATCTTTCTTATACAGTATATATTATTGGGAGAACATTTGTTGCAGCAGCTGGATCTGAACCGAGGCTTTGAAGAGACGAGCGAGGAGCAGGTTTGATCACTTAAGTTGATTACGAGCAGTTGGGTAGTGCACGAGTGTTCGCGGGGATGCAGCGAACCCCCGAGGGACCTGGACCCGCCCCGGTCTTGAGTCTAGTCCCTCTTTTCGACTCTGTTATCACCGCCTCTCCCTTCCACTCATCTGCAGTGCTTTGATCCCTTCGTTCAGCCCCCTACACCTTTGCTCTGTTCCTTTCCCTCCATTTCCTCCTTTAATCTCACCTTCAGTTTTCTCATGTCTAAGCCATCTTTACTGTTTCACCGCTCTCAGGTCTGTCCCTGTTTCTCTTGCTTTTTCATTCTCTTTTAAGTCTGATTTTCTGTACCCTTGGGTTGTCTGTGCCTGCACTGACGAGGGTGGCGTCTTCCTCAGATCAATGATGGTTTAAGATATTTCACTGTAAGTGTCAAGTTGAATTAGGGCGAACCACTGCAGATGAGACTTTAACGGCCTTGATAGACCAGGGGACACGCTGTCCCATCAGCATAGATTAGCTCCATTGTCATTGCAGGAGGGACACACGTTTGATTAATTGGATATTAAGTAGTACCTGGAGATAAGCCATCAGATGCTTTCATGGATTAATAATTAGTTTTTTTCCTCCCCTTTTCTAACTCTAGCGCTGCATGGTGGAACAGTGGTTAGAACTGTTGCCTCGCA